TCTATTATATGTATTAATCATACAAATTGTAGATGGTACGATTCATAACGATTCTGGTCTTGTTATCGCTAAGCATGGTGCCGTTGCTTCCGAATTGGTAGATTGCTCTGTCATTGGGGTTGATGGTATTTAATTTTGCATTTAATCTTTTTTTTTTTTAATTAACTTGTCTCTTTTATATATATTGACTTCTATAAATTATAGTTCTGAAAGAGGGTGGATCAGCTGTTGATGCCGCGATCGCAACTGAATTGTGTGTCGGCACGATCAATGCATTTTCCGCGGGAATTGGAGGGTATGGTTTGTCTGCGTAATATATTATTTCCTTTTGAAGGTTCATTCATTGTCTTGTCTTTGTTTTTAGTGGTGGCTTAATGTTGATTCGTTTGCCTAATGGAACTGCTGAATTTATTGATTGCCGGGAAACTGCTCCAAAATTTGCTAAACAAGATATGTACAAAAAGAATAAAACTTTATCTTCGATCGGTGGACTTGCTGTTGGCATCCCGTGAGTGATTTGCATCTAATTACATATTTAAAGACTAATTAATGATTGATTTATTAATGATTGATTTATTTTTTTTTTAGCGGTGAAATTCGTGGAATGAAACTTGCACATGAAAAGTAATTATTTTTTTTTATGAGGGTAATTTTGCACACTAAATACCAATATATATATATATATATTTGACAAATTTAATAATAATTTAGATATGGAAAATTACCGTGGAAACGACTTTTTAAGCCATCGATTAAATTAAGTCGTTATGGATTTCCCATACCTCCAGAATTAGCTCTACGACTAGAGGTATTTATTACCATCATCATAATTTTTAATAATAAAGATAACAAAGTTAGTTAATTGATAATTCTTTTTATAGATGTTTGAGAGTATAATATTGAGTATTCCATCATATCGTGCTATTTATGCACCAAAAGGAAAAATATTGACCAAAGGAGAAATGTTATATCGGTTTAATTTTTCAAAAACTTTGGAGGCTATTGCCAATAACTATACTGAATTTTACGAAGTAAATAATATCATTTCTTATATCTTTGATATAGTTATTTTTTCATATCCTTGATGTAGTTATAATTATGTTTAAATATAGGGATATATCGCAAAATCATTGGTCAATGAAATCAATGCTCAAGGTGGAATTATTACTTTTGAAGATTTTGTCAATTATCAACCTGTAGTTCGTAAACCTACCGTTGGATATTACCGTGGGCGAAAAGTGAGATATATAGTTTTATAGTTATGCTTATACTCTAAAAATTTTATAGCAAATTTATACTTATTATTTTTCTGATGTTAATTATAGATAATAGTGTCGTCAGAACCTACCAGTGGCGCTGCATTAATATTCATGTTAAATTTATTGGAAGAATTTAAAATGTCTCAAAATGGGCTTGATGGACTTACTCTCCAAAGGTGATTGTTTGTTTATTTATTGCTTATTATTTTATTATCAACTTTGTCGTAACTTTTTCGTAATTCTTTTTTTTTCTATTATGTGATCAGAATTATTGAAACAATGAAATGTAATTATTTTTTATTAAAAAACCGAATTTAAATGATATGATATAATGACATATAAACTTTTAATATCTAGTTGGTTTTGCCCGACGTACTGAAATGGCTGATCCCGCATTTGTAAGTTCATTAAATAAAATATGAATTATTAAATTAAATTTAAATTATTAACTGAATTAAGTTTATATTGGAATTTGAATCATGATGTTAATATGATTCAAATAAACTTGTATGATATAATTCATTTGGAAATGTAGTTTGAAAATTCAACAGAACACAATGAACGTATAAAAGAAATTATTTCTAAAAAATTTGCTAAAGGTGTACGGCATAATGTTTCAGAGGTGAGGACCTTAATATATGTTTATTTTTAATAAATAATAATATTATTAATCCGATATTTTAATAGACTCAAACCTATGATCCAAACTATTATGGCCCAGTCTTTGATTTTAATGAAGATCATGGAACAACCCATATTTCGGTTATTGATGTTAATAATATGGCAGTATCCTTTACTTCTACGGTAATTATTGTTTGATATTCCTTCTTTTTTTTACCCTCATTCTTATTATTTACATTTTTAGAAATATTTTAATAGGTCAATCAAGTTTGGGGCGCACGTGTTTTAGACAGTAATACAGGCATAATTCTTAACGACGAAATGGATGATTTCGCAGTTCCCGGCGAGCCAAATACTTTTGGATTATGGCCTTCGCCTTATAATTATGTTGGTAGGTCATTCTCATGTACTAGTGTTCCGAACAGACAAATCAGGAATAAAAAATTGTTGAATTGTATAATAGACGAGTAAGCTTGACAGCTCTCAATTTGATCTAAGTTGTATAGAACAACTGCCCCGCTCTCAAGTTTATATGAGCTGTTTGGAATAGCTGCCCAGTAAGAGCATAAAAAGTTTTACGTATTTTCATGTTATCAAAGATTGGCGTCGATCATTCTATTCGTGGTTATCTGTTTGGAACACATGTACTGTATTACGTATTTAAATATAGTTGACGCAAAATTACAGAATTATATTTACAACATTTATGCTGCATTGCGAGATTTACACGTGTAATAGTGAGAAATGTTGTACTGTAAATTAAAATTTCCGTCAACTATCGCTATACGTACAGTAATTTTAAGTAAAATGTAAGCTTTACTAAAAATAGTTTTTTAGCACCTGGAAAGAGACCTCTGTCATCGACAGTTCCAACAATTGTTGAAAATGAAGATGGTGAATTGGAATTAGTACTTGGTGGTAGTGGTGGTTCAAGAATTCTTACTGCTGTCTTGCAGGTAATTTATTCAATCTACATAAAGCCTTGTTTTTCTAATACATTTTTTCATGTAATATTTTTACTGTAAAATTTATAGGTGCTGACAAATGTGTATGATTTTGATATGGATGTTTTATCTGCTGTTAATGCACCTAGAATACACCACCAACTATTACCAAACGTGGTGAATATTTATTCTCATTTGGTTAATTTATTTTCATATTGAAATTTTATTGATCTAAAAAAAACTTAATTAGCTACAAATAGAATCTGGGTTCGATTATAATTTAATTAAAGATATGTTAAATATTGGACATGTCGTAAGTAATTATTATTATTATTAATATTTTATTGTTAACCCATCCAGATTAATGCGTATATTTTTTTTGTTGTAGGTACAATTAAACCATATAGATGATAGAAAAGTTACATGTCAAGTTCAGATAGTTAGAAAGTTTAAAAATGGAACTATTCACGGTAAGTAAAATGTATTAAAAAAAAATAAAAAATTTTGAATTGAATTTTGACGAAAAATAAATTCAAATTTTGTCGAAAAATAAAATTCAAATAACTTATTTTTTTTCGTAAACGTATATAGCTGTAAGCGATTTTAGGAAAAATGGATTAGCAGCTGGATATTAATTTATGTCAGAAAGGTTAAAAATGGAATATTCACAGTAAGTAAAACATATATTTAAAAAAAATTGAATTTAATTTTATCGAGAAATCAAATAACTTTAATGTTGTTGGATTTACAGTGCCTTGTAAAGTTTACTGTGACATTAGTTAAAGATATATAGCAGTACTTCGACCTCGTGATATTATAAATCGTGTTCGTTCTGAAGTGGGCCGAGACATCATATATAGTAGTTCGAAGAAGTAAAGCTATTAGGCCACACAAAGTTAATTTTTCGTTTTGCATTACCTGATTTCAAAAATCCGTTCAGTCGGTTGAATTTTTTTAATTCTAAATAATAAATGATAACTCTAAAAACACCTATTTAATCACAATTAATCATGATTACCCTTATTTGTAATAATTTCAAATATTGGGCCTTTATTTGTAATTATTTCATTTTGGGCTCTTATTTGTACTTATCTGTAAATTCCCTTTTTTTACATAAATGTATATAGCTGCAAGCGATCTTAGGAAAGATGAATTAGCAGATAGATATTAATTTATTATATTATTAATGTTATTTGACTTTTCTTCTGATATATTAATATATTAAATTATTAATGTTATTATCTCTTAAACCATATATTTTAGTATACAAATTTGTACAATAAAATTTTTAAAAGAAAATTGAGATGTAGAAAAAAGTTTTTTAGCAAAATCTCAATTCTAGTTGGTTATAGTAACTTTCAAAAACCATGTTATATGGCACACTTCACAGTTACAACATAGTACACTTCATGTAGTTTAAACAAAAAGCAAAACTTCACCTAATAGCCATGAAGTATATTTTGTAAACCAAACTTTGAACTGCTATATTTCTATAGCATTGTCTCAAAAACCAATAATATAAAGTTGATTATGAAAACCTTTGATCAACTTTAATATTGTATTATAAAAGAAATCTTTGTATAATGATTATAAAGAATTTTTATAAGTGTTATATATAGATTCTTTTTTTAATATTAAATTTGGATATCAAAGTCCTATTACAGTTCTATTGTGATCTACATCAGATATTTAATATTCAAAGTATTATAAAAAAATAAAATAGATATTATTTAGCATTTAATATATAAGGCAGGCATGTCTAATTTGGCATAATGCCTAATTTAATGCACTACAATATCTTATGATTCAGCAATTTGAATTATGTGATTTCTAACTAAGACCAAGATGGCTAATGAAAACACCAGTATTAAATCCTAAAAATCTAAATTCTTCTCCTATTACTAGTCTTGTACTGATAGCTCCAAAGCTGATACAGCAATTATGCTAAGCAAATGACTTAATCCTTATATACACAATATTATAACCTTTTCTAGATATGCAATTACTATTAATCTTTTCTTTAAGTATGATTTTATATTTAGGATTATTTTTATATACCTATCTAATGATGATTTACAACTCGAATTACAAATTAAAAATACTATAATTCAATAGATCTAACAAGAAACTATCAATAACCTATAACTAATCATAATGAAAGATTTTAATACAAAAAATAATTATCTACACTTGACCTTTATCAAATATAATCTACTTAAATTCCTTTAATATAATAATATGTATGATTTAGCAACCTATACATAATCCTTTACATTTATTTGAAAAAGTAATAAAGTTCAAAGTTGTATTAATTATATATGGGCTAGCTATGCAATCTTCCAATATCTAACCTTCTTTTATATTGATAACTCTGATAATAGTATTACAAGTAACCACAGGATTCTAATTTCTTCTTGGTCTTATCTATATATATTTATAGATAAAAAGTAAACTACAACTAAAACCTGCAAAAAAGTATTTCTCTATAAGAATATAAACTAAGAATTATAACAAAATTTTACAAATTAGGTTGCTTTTAATCTTAAAAATAACAACCTACCATTAAACACTAATACATCTGAATCACTTGAATCAACTTAGTATAAAATTCAAACAAATATCATTATTGTCACATTACAATATATTCTGAACAAAATATATACAATATGCAACTTTTAACATATATTTTCACCTAAGGCTTTCTTACTATATTTTAATCTTAAAAAACTTGAAAATATTATTTGACAAGTAAAAGTTGTACTAAAAAATCAATCTTTTATTCTATACCACCTCAATAATACTATTAACCAAATCAACAAAACCTATCAACTTAATATCTAACCAATACTATCAGAATATCACCTATTAACAGACTGAATCACTACTAGCAATATAAAATAAAAAGCATTATATTATGCATGCAACATTAAAACATTAAAGAGATTAGTGACAACATTATTAAAAGATATAATAAATTATCAAACCCAAAAGCAATGATCAATAGTATTTTAAATCAATATAAAGATCCTATTAGATTTGAAAATATTAAATAAACAATAACATTATTACTGATCTAACTAATATCAAATCTCATATTCAACACCACTTTAATTAAATTTTTTTTTTTTTTAAAGAGTGAGGCCTGGCCTCGGTCTTTATTGAATAATTATGCTTTACATTATTTAAGTGGATTACATGAATCATTACAAAGACCTATAGCTAGGACTACTTTATTTTTGGTCCAAAGCTCTACTAGAGTGGGCTATCAGGCTTCTACTAGATTTAGTTTAGCTATATACGATGTAGATATATTAGTGGTGAGAAACACTTTTTCCCATGTGTTATATTTTATTGCACTAATGTGATCTGTGGGGATAAGATGGGGTTATAGCAGTATATGGATCAGTTATTAGTCTATTTTGATATATACCTTTACAGCATTCAAACCATATTTGTTTGTAGATGTTATTTGATATTTTATATAGCACTTTGATAAATGTATTGTTTGAAGTTGAAGTAATTGACCTAATATTTTCTGAAATTAGCCCTTGTAGTAGCAAAATGTTAGGTGTATTTATATCATTAGTGAAGAAGATTTGTGCTAATACTGCTGGATCTGGCAGGTGAGTATTCTTTTTGCGTATTGTTTTGTCACTATTTGTATTATCATTTGATGTAGTGATGTTAGGTTGTCTGGGCAAATCAGCCAGTGGATATTGTTCTTAGTTGCTTGAGTACATCTATTGCAGGTTGGGTTTGTATATTTTTTGGGGTGTCAATAATGTAGGTTAAGCAGTGTTGGTAACTTATCTAATAGAAATTTAATTTTAAAATTCTTCTTCAGTAATAGTTTGGTGTGTGTAAATCTTGTATATAGTTTATTATTAAAGTTGATAAATTGGTAGATGCTATTTCAGTTTGTATTTGATTGCATATCTTGCTAGCTACTTGTTCTGTTGAAAGAGTGCCATTCAGCAGTGTTTTTTGCATTTTGTAGATGTTGAATAAAATGACAAGTTTTATGTTCTACTGGTACATTGTTCTATATAAGATAAAAGTTGTTATTATCTAATATAAATGGCACTAATTTAATTTTGTGCAGCTCCCATACTTTACATGTCAATCACAGTGCACTATTCTGTGCCTTTCTATTATTTTAGTGAACGTGCCAAAATACGTGCATTTTGGTTTAGTAAACTGCTGCAAAATTTGGTCTATTTGCAGTCCAAAATTTACATGTAGACAGTAATGATACAGGATATCATATGTGCTATTTTTCATACAGGGTAGCACTGATAGTAATAAGGATTAAATAGTTTACATTTAATGATTAATTATTCAAGTATATTATTTTGCGTGAATTAATGACATCCAGTTCTTAGCAAATATCTATTCGTTTTCTTATAGCTCTTGCTGTCTTGTAAATGACTTTGCTTACTGTACTATTTCCCTATATTTATCATTATTTATATTTGCTTACTTTTTTATCTGTCTCAACTTAGTTACGAATAAGCTATCTATTTTATTTGTGTCATTCAAAGTAAGTATATAATTTTTTATTTACGTTGATTAGTCACAATCAGAATATTTAGAATAGGCTATTTATTTCTTATTTATTCAATTTCACATTAATCTAATAGATGGGCATCAATCGAATTATTGGTGTTTTAAAATTAAAAAGGATCTATTTTATTATTAAAATAAGCAATTCACATATTTTATTTTTAAATTAGAAATGCAGTTAGATTATTATATATTGTTCTTTTCAATTTACTGTAATCATGAAAATCTTAAAGCTCTTTTATATTTTGATTTTTTCTATGTTTTTAATAAAAAACAATTATATTGATTTTTACTATTTATCTTATAATATCTATTTAAATATTATATTTGGCAATGGTCTAATCTTATTTTTTCAACTTAAAATAAATAATCTTGATATTATACTATTTATTTAACAGCTACTCATTTTGTTGGATTGTTTTTGCCTTTTATAGCTTTTATGGTTTTAGTACATTAATATTTTTGGTCATATTTTTTTGTATATACCTATTCAATTTTGAATGTATAATTATTAAAACAACTTCCTTGTAATTATATAAAAGAAAAATCTACTCACTCCTTTTTTATATATACTTTATTAGTACTATATATATGTTTGTTCATTTGTTTGTTCATTTGTAGATACTATATATAGATGCAA